CCTGCATGCCGTGACAGCGCTTCGCGGAGCCCTCATGATAGCCCTGACAACGCCTTGCAGAGCCCTTGTGAAAGCCCTGCCACTGCTTCGCAGAGCCCTCGTCCCAGCTATGCCTGCTTGACGCGATCCGGAGGAGGCAGTCTTTCGTGTCCCCGGTTTCCCAGCTCATCCCTTAACCTTATGGCAACCTCTCGGCTGAGCTCTGATTCCCTTCTCTGAATGAGGGAGGCAGGAGAGTCCACGCAAATCAGGCTTTCTTGGGTACCTTCAGCACCAAGAGGTGTCAGCCAAGCAGGCTGTGGGCAGCTAAGAGTGATGAACAGAGACCTCATCTCTCCAAAATAAACCTCAGGCTGGCTGCCTGTGTTTTTCTGGTGCAGGTCGCTGGCTGGGTTGGAGAGGCAGCAAGCGTGACACAGCTCAGGGGTAACTGGTGTATTTTGTGTGTCCAGGTCAGAAGCAAAGTGGGGAGGTGGGGCTGGTTGAAACCGAAGGGGCTTTATGATCCAGCAGGCAGGCACCCACGTTCTTGCAGGCTGTAGCTGGCAGCAGATGCTGTCGAGGTTTGCTTGGGTTTTGGTATGGGCAGTGTTTCCATCAGTGACTTGAACATACTTCTGACACGACATCAGAGCATGCTGTGCTACAGGGGCTTGTCTGAATGCAGGATCTGTAGAAGTTAATTCAGTAAAGCCACGTGCCACAGGCTATGCTCAGAGAGCTCACTGTCCCAGCGCAGCAGGGTGCCTGTGCGTGTGATGCAGGAGGTGGGGTGGTCTTGTCTGCATGGGGTTTTGGATACCATGCACCAGAAAGGAGCCACCACTTTGAGAGAAACCTCAGGAAACGTTAGGACAGCGTGACCTGTAAAGGGGCAGCCAGAGGGACTGGATTCCTTTTATAGAAGAGAAAGGGAAGCTTTCACATCTGTTAACACCTGCATGTATCTCTCAGGTCTGTCTTGGTACAAGAGGATGTTCAGCCTTTCCTACCTTCCTCCCTGTAGATGAGAAGTAAGGGAGCCTTAGTGGAGATACTGGGGAAGAAGCTCCTCAACAGCAGGTGTAGTGGCACAGGGATAGATTTTTATGAGAAGCTGGCTGAGCCTCCAGGGCAGAGGGGGAAGATGTCAGAGCAAGTGGTGCAGCTCATCTGATCTGGATCTTCAGGTACGCTTGATCCTCATTGAGAGGGGGGGTGGTACGGGTTAGCTGTCTTCTCAGACTGCCTTTTAGCCCTCAGGATTTAAGAAATGCTTTTAGTAATTGCTCCATAATGTTCTAAAGCCTGGCTTTGGCTGGCAGCCTTGCCTGGCACCCTTCATATAACTTGATCTTCTAAACAAATCCATAAATGTCGCAGCTAAGCGCATGAAGCAATGCTGGCTGTCCTCTTGCCTTTCCCTGCAGCGCCCATGGTCAGTGCGGTAAGCTGAAAAATTAGCCTGGGAAGGGGGCAAGAATCCAAATCCATCTCAGCTGCTGGAAACTGGGTAAGGCCTGAAGAGTCCCATGTAGCTTTTGGTGGCTTTGTTGTTTGTCCCAAGAGGTGTGTAGTTGTTCATGGCTTGGTGCTATATGGCCAGTTCTCCTCTTTTGCCTTCTCTGAGCTGGGTGAGATTGGGGATGACAGCCCTTCTCCAGCTGCAGGGTGGCACTGAGGCAGCTGGGTGGCCCTTCTCTCATCCTGGGGCTCCAGGTGGCCAGGCAGACACCAGAATGCGCAGGGTGGTGCTGCTCATTAGGTTCACAACAAGCAGAACTCACTGTGCTGTGCTGCAGCTGACATGGTGGCTTGCCTGGTGAATCATAAGTGAATTCTGTTGAGAGCATTAGCCCCACACCTTGGCCAAGCTCCAGCTTGGGTGATTCCACTCGGACACTTTAACTGCTCCCTGTCACCATTGCCAGACGCAAGGCTCTGCTCTTCTGCCTGCAAGATCTTGGAGGCTTGGGAGCTGTTTAACAGCTGCTACTTTCACTCTTTGTCTGTTTTCCTGCTGTATGTAGGGGATTTGTCTGTGGAGCCTCACTGTAAGACTGTGAAAGAGGCTCTGTTAACACCAAGCAGTTGATTTGACAGTCAAGGTTGCTTTATTTTGTCCATCAGCCCCTCTACTATGCTGGCTGCTGAGGGCTTGTGTGGGGTACAGTGTAACTAGTATGTGTTTTGGAGTGTAACAGTTACCAACATAACTAGAGTGATGGTTCATAAGGATATGGCTATAATTAGGTCAAGCTGTTTTGTTTGTTAAATTCCCATTCAGCTCCCAAACCTGGCAGTGGAAATGAACTTTGGGCCTTTTTTAGGATTGCTGTCAGTCTCCCCTGGCAAAGAACATTGGGAATGGCATCCTTGCTCCTCTCCTCACTGCCAGATCCCATGGGCACAGGCACACTGCTGTCTTCTGTCTCTTACAGGGGAGCTGAGCTGCCATGGGGAACACCACCAGTGAGAGAGTGTCAGGGGAGCGCCACGGCTCCAAGTCCCACCGCTCAGATGGCTCCGGTGCCCCCCACCCTGCCAAGGAGCACCCGCACAAGATCATGGTGGGCAGCACTGACGACCCCAGTGTTTTCAGCTCCCATGACTCCAAGGTAGGGGCTAGCCACTGCCTTCCCTGTCCTGCCCTCTGGGGCTCTGTGCTCCCAGCCATTTGAGGGGCCTGTGGAGAGTTGGGAGGCTAGAAGAGCTCTGCAATGCTCTTGTCTGGGATGTGCAGCTGGGCTGGTAGAGGGCAAGGGGGAGTGAATGTGGTCCTGGTTGCCTTTGTGTCTCAGGCTCTGGTTTTCTTTGCTTAGATTCCTGGGGATAAGGAGTTTGTGTCGTGGCAGCCAGATCTGGAGGAGTCAGTGAAACCGTCCCAACAAGCTCGTCCCACTGTCATCCGCTGGGCTGATGGAGGCAAAGAGGTCTTCATCTCTGGATCTTTCAACAACTGGAGCACCAAGATCCCACTCATCAAGAGGTAGCCAGTCACTCAGGTCACTCTAAATTCTCCTTTGCTTCATCATGGGAAGTGTTTCCCCTTCTCTGTGCTGGTGGCTGTTCCCTTTGCCCACCTGTATTGTCTATGTTCATCCAAGCTGGAGTGTCTGAGCACAAATATGTAGTCAGTTTCTTCCCTGGATGGTGCTGTTAAATTGTACAGAGGGATGGAACAGGATGGGCCACTTTGCTTGCCCAGCTCGATGTTACACGGCAGCTTATCCCAGCAGCAGAGCCCTATCCAGATACGCAGTTATCTTTTGGAAGCTGTCAGCTCTTTGCTTGGCTGTGGCCTTACCCCCTACCTAGTTGTGTTGTTGCCAGCGGGGGTTGTTTGTCCCTCACATATCTTCCTGCCCTAATGATGTTCTTGTCATTCCACAATACATAACTCTGGGCTTAATCCCAGCAAATTGCCTGGAATGGGTTTATCTCAGTTGTGGGCTTCACAAACAGAGCTGCTACACTTGCTGTCCCCATCCTGCAGTGCCAGCACAGGGTTAGGTGCTTTTCCCATGCATCCTCCCAGATGTGTCTTGCACAGGGTGTCTGTAACGTCAACTTTCTCTGGACTTGTGGGGCTGGACTGCCTCCTGTGCACTCCTTCCAGCTGGACTCCTGGGGGTTTGAGCCACTCTGGTGCTCTGAATGCTCACGCTTGCTGTGTTATACCTCAGATCATTGACAATGAGCAAGCCTAACCCCGCATGAAGCTGTGGTGGTAGAGGGGCTGGACAGTGCATGTTTTCTGGGCCCCCATGGAAGAGCACCATCCAGAGCATCAACAGGGTAATGCTGTTGCACGTCTATTCTCTCTGCACAGCCACAATGACTTTGTTGCTATCCTGGACCTCCCGGAAGGAGAACACCAGTACAAATTTTTTGTGGATGGCCAGTGGGTCCATGACCCATCTGAGGTAACATTCAAAGCTTTGTCCCTGCAGATCTTGACTTCTTCAGGGTACTACACATGATGTAACTGCAGCAGAGGGGGAACAGGAAGAGCAGAAGGTGTCTGCCAAAACAAAAGGGGTATCTCCATCCCATGAGTCCTTTCAGAGGCTGGTTTGTCTGGGCTTAGACATGCTGTAAATGGGAGTTTTGGGGAGGTGCTGAGGGGCAGGACAGCACCAGAAAGCCTTTAATTCTTATTGACAATTGGCTGCATGAGAAGATGGGCCATGGGGGCAGCACTCACCTGCAGGTTCTTCTCCAAGCTGAATCACGTGGTAGCAGCAGGGAAAGGAGAGGACACTTACCCACTGGCATATAGCAAGATGGAGGATGAAAATAGGATGTGATGTAGGAGCCTGGGAGTACAGGGAAGACCTCCCAGGGTAAACAGCAGAGATATGCAAGTGTAGAGCAGAGCTAGATACTGGCTACCTGTGGTAATGGTGCAGCAAAGACAGCTTGGGCTGGAGAATCAAGGAAGCATTGAGTGTTCTTTGGTAGGAGATGAGCATAGGAAGACTCTTACTTCAGTTCTCTCCAGCCTGTGGTCACCAGCCAGATGGGGACGATTAACAACCTGATTCACGTCAAGAAGTCTGACTTTGAGGTGTTTGATGCTTTGAAGGTGGATTCCCTGGAGAGCTCAGAAACCTCAGGTCGGGGTGAGTTTTTATACATTACCACTTTGCATGTGCTATTTTCCACCTCCTCTGGGGGTGAACAGACCCCCTGAGCAGAGGTGTGGGCCTGCACCTGGGAAGAGTAGTGTTTGACAGCTGATGCCTTGTCTGTATGGAGGGACTGTGCTGGTGTAACTTGTTCTGTGCTAGCACCGTCCCAGAGCAGGGTCAATGCCTGTGCATGGCTGAGGCAGCCATTTCAGACTGGTGAACTCCGGGAACATCAGCCCGTTCTGTCTACTCAACTGTAAGTCATCTGATCTGGGGTACAAGCGAGGTGAGAGCAGGATCCAGGTTATTTTCAGCAGCTACTCTTGGTTTTTTTGCCAAGGTAATTTGCACTGGTGCTAGCTCATCTCAAACCTCCCTCTCCACTTCTGTTACAGCAGCAGGTTAGGTTACCATGCAGGCACTGGCAGTGCTGGCTCAGTGTGTAATGCTGGCAGGTAGCTCAGTCGTGTTCCAGGCCAGGGCGCTCAGCACCTCCAGGGATGTGGAGTCCTTCTTGGATGCTTATTCCAAAATGATTAGGTCATATGTGGTCAGGAGGTGCATCCAGTCCAGCTTCCAGTGACAAGCTCCCATAGTTCCTCGTGTGGGTTGAGCAGCTGCTCAGTCTAGACTGCCCATTTGACCTTTCTGGGACCTCCTCATCAGGCAGTCCTGCATCACTGAGAGCATGCAGGCATGCTGCTTGCTGTGCCCCTGCTGCACAAGGTACAGTTCTGGGCCAACCTGGCTGCTTGCTAGTGGTAGAGGGACCCAACTATGCTGAGGTCTGTGTGCAGGGGTCTTGAGGTGGCTTCCACAGGGTGCTTGCTTTGTGTCAATGCACATACCAGCTTACAGTTCTGCTTGGAAATGCCCAGGACTCAGCTGGCTGCTTTTTCCATGGTGAAAAGGCTGAGCTGTTGCTGTAGTATACATGGGCATGGCTCATGGATGATGTTTGTGACTGGAAGACGCTGCTGGATCCTTCTGAGCTTCTTGGGAAGCCAGGCCTGCTTCAGCCATTTCATGTCTCCTCCTTTCTCTTCTCTTTAGACTTATCAAGCTCACCACCTGGACCTTATGGCCAAGAATTGTACGTATACCGGCCTGAGGAGCGCTTCAAATCCCCACCTATCCTCCCGCCTCACCTCCTTCAGGTCATCCTGAACAAGGACACCAATATCTCGGTGGGTACCATCATACTGCCCACACACAGGGAGCCACACTGGGGTTGGAAGGGGAGTCCTGGAGCCTCACCCTTGGCATTTCCTGGGGAAAGCACCACTTTTCCATTAACAACACTGGTTTGGCTCCTTGCTCTGCCTGGTGCTTAGCTGAGTTCTGTTCCTGTTCAGAACAGCCAGAGACACCAGCAGCTCAGATTGCCTGAGATGGCAGCTCCCTGTGATGTCTGGAGCTGGGGGGTCAGGGCTCTGCTGTTCCTCTGTGACACTCCTCTTCTCCTAGTGTGACCCAGCACTGCTGCCCGAACCCAACCATGTCATGCTCAATCACCTCTACGCACTGTCCATTAAGGTAAGTGCAGGTCCCATGAGGCTGCTGGATGAGGGAAGTGGAGCTGCTGTGGTTCCCAGGAGCCTGCAGTACCTGCAGGGAGCAGACAACAGGGGGGGTGGAGATGGTGGTGCAGGGATCAGAGGACCCACGCGAGGACAGCTTGTCTGCCTGGTGAAGTTTGGCATGTGCAGGGGTGTAGGCTGTGGCTTCCTTACAGTTCTTTTTAGCTGCCTACCTGCAGCCTGATGGAACTGGGCAGTCCTGGGCTCTCCTGCTGTGTACCAGACTCTTCCCTTGCACTCCCTATCATGGGTGTTGGACATGTCTTGCTGGCTGTGAGGCTGGGGTGGCTCCTCAGGCCTGCAGAGCCCTCTTCCTGATGGCTGTTGTGGGGTGCCCCACTCCCAGGTTGGCACAGCCAGGCTGCACTGGGCTGTCCTCCCCTGCTCCCACTGACGCTGTGCCTCTCGCAGGATGGCGTGATGGTGCTCAGTGCCACGCACCGCTACAAGAAGAAGTACGTCACCACGCTGCTGTACAAGCCCATCTGAGCTGGGGCCTCACCCACCCCCTATGCAGGACACCAAACGCCGCTTTGTCTGCACACACTGGGCCACAGGACTGTGCAAGAACTGACCGCTGGCTCCAGCCTTGAACCTGGCAGGGACGCAAAGCCCTGGCAATGGGCCCAGGGCCACTGGGGCCTGTGGCACTGTCCCATCCTATCGGTGTGGTTTGATTTAACCCTTGGTTTCTGCCCACCTACAGCTCCCCTTGGCTTCTCTGAGGCCACTTTGCTGCTCAACAGAACAGCCTTTCCTTGTGCCCAGCATGGAAAGGGCTTCACCTACCCATCTTCTCCAGCCTCTGCAGGCCCCTAGGTGGTCCTGGCACTGCCTCCAGCCCAGGCCTCCAGGAATATGTCATGTCTGCTGAAGGTTGCTGTGCTGTCCTGGTGATGAGCCTCCAAGGCCACCTTGATCCCTACAGGCTGTAGGACAACCCAGCCTGCCCCATCCTGCAGCCCTGGCTATGGGGCTGCCCCCCTCCTTGTGCTCACTAGCCTTGAGGAAGGATTCTTGGGTGGTGCTGGCTGCAGCCCCAGCTCTCTGTCAGGTTCAGCATCGAGCCAGCGGGAAGGAGGGTGCAGCTGGACCGGACGTAGCCATGCTTACCTGCTGCCAGGACAGTGTCATCAAGGACTGAACGCTCCGTCCCCAACATCGAGTGCTTCTGCAGGGAAGGGCTGACTTTGTCACAGCCAGAGGAACACCATGCACGCCACGCTGGAGGGGCCTGGGAAGAGCAGGGCACGTATCCCAGGACCCCGGCTACACCGCCTGCTGCCAGCGCAGTGCCATGCAACAGGGTTTTCTCTATTTATTACAGTATTTATTGATCTGGGGGCTGCTGGCCTGATACTGGAGGGGTGCTCTAGAGCAGTGAAATGCGAAAAGGGAGCAAGCTCCCAATGGGGCGCAGAGCTGCCATTAGGGTGGTGGGGTGGGGTGTGGGGCCAGCCCTTTGGGCCAGACGGTGCCTATTACACCTGGTGCTGGTGTAGCTTGGGGAGCATAGCTGCAGAGACTAGTGTGCCAGAAACGCAACAACCTGCAGGAAACCTTTATTGGGGACTCTTCAGCCACTGAACAGAACATGGCATTTCTTACATCCTCCCACACTGGGGCCCCGACATGCCCAGGGAGCCCCCAGAATGCAGCTGTGATACCTCTATCTATATACATATACATACATCCAATAGCAGGGACGGGTATGCAGCACGATTACAAATGGGACCAAGTCCCAGGGCAAGAGGTGCTTGATGTGGAGGGCTGTACACCCCACTCTAAGCACTGTGGGTGGAAAGGGGCAAGCACTGAAGCATGGGGCAGGCAAAGCCCAAGCCAGCAGCTGCTGCTGCGATACCAAGCAAAGGCAGGTGGAGGGCATGCGACCACCACAGCAGCCCAAACCCACTAGCTATGTAGCACTGGACAGCCCAGACCCCTGTCCACCCCACCCCTTGGAGCAGCAGGGACAGGGTCCTCTCCAGCCCTCTGGCGTGGCATGGCTCAGCAGACTGTTCTGTGACCGGCCCTGCTCATGCGATGGGCAGGGCCTGCTGGGCCTTCACCTGTTGAGAGAGGACACATGGCAGTAAGGGTCAGCACTGCCAGGGGAGGCCTGTGCTGGAGAACTGTTGTACCCTGAGGATGTAGCAGCTGAGGACAATCAAGGGAAATAGGTCAGTATGTCCCACACACACAGCTGAGTGCCTCAGCACTGCTCTCCATCCACCACTCTGCTGGCAGAGCATGGAGTGTCTGCCATCTGTGCCCATCCCCAGGGCAGCAGGGCTCACCAGGACAGGGGCACCTGCCCCTATCCCACCCTGGCTGCCAGGGCACTCACCTCCAGGTTCATCCTGGCCTTGCGCAACACATTGTGGGTCCTGCTCACTGTGAGGGGGCGAGAGATGTGGTCAGTGAAGTTCCTGCGCTGTAGAGCCACCCCACAAGGGGACAAGGCGAGCTTGGGCCTGCCACCCCACAGCAGGCTGCCACCCAGGCCACGTACACTGGTTCACGATGAAATGCTCCATGCTGTCCTTGAGCTGTGCTGTGCTGCGCAGCTGCTCAGCTGTGCTCTGCAGAGCATCCTCCCTCTCGGAGAGCTGTGCCCTCAGCGCTGCGATCTCACCCTGTAGCACCTGCTCCTGAGACAATACGAGCATTATGAGCAGCGAGCATCCAGCCCCACTGCCCCACCAGCCCCCAGCTCCACACTTACTTTGCCCTGGTGTTGGGCTGGGCTGATGGGCAGCACAGTGCTCCAGAAGGCAGTGAGAAGAGACGTGCACTGATCCAGGATGCCATGCAGGGTGCTGGCACTGCCCCAGAGGTGCCCTGTGCCTGTCCACCGCAGGGCCTGCGGAAGAGGGGTGCAGAAGCAGGTGCTGCCAGGGCACCTGCATCCCACTGCACCTGGGGACTCACCCTGCCTAACACTGCAGGGCAGTGCCAGCAGCAGACCCCAGGCTGCCAGCTACTTGCCAGCCACTTGCCAGCCCTGCAAGCTTCAGGTTCCAGCCCCATCCTGCCCACACTGTACCTCCTTTCCTGGGAGCGGGCAGTTGGGCAGCCCAAGCGCTGGGCGTGTGAGGCACATCAGCTCACGCGCCAGTGCCTTTCCCTGTAGGATGTGCTGCTCCAGGGCCCGGTAGGTGTCCAGGCAGCCGACAACATGAGCCCTTGTCGGCCCCTCACTCTTCCTCACCAGTGGGTCTGCCCCACATGGCCCTGTGGAACAAGCAGGGCTAGGTAGGCCTGCTCCATCCTAGGGCTTGGCTCTGCTCTAGGCTCTTTAAGGGTGCTGCCACAAGTTTGTCAGGTCTCAGCAGTTCCTGAGGCATAGGCATGGGCAGGCTGTGGGACCTACCGTCCATCTGCCAGGCCACAGACATGTCAGAGGACAGCGAGAAGAGGGGAGCTGCTGAACTTGTGCCAACATCCCGCACTGGAGGAGATGGGAAGCAGCCTGGAACAAGAAGTATCTGAGCCCCTGCAGACAGCCGTGGCTCTGTGCGTGGGGCTGCTGGGGTCCTGCCCTCCCTCTCTGCTTGCCAGCAGGGCTGCCATGTCTCTCCTGCTGCTGCCACAGGAGAGGTGTTTGGGCCTGCCCAAGGCGTGCAGAGT